CAAATGCCGACGTCCAGTGTGGCCAGGATTGTTTTCCAATTAACGTATTTCCCGACCCCTGTTCTAATAACCCTGAAAAACCAACTATATGTCATGGAAAAGCAGGATGTTTTTGTTGTTGCCCCTAACTAAAATTCATTTTAAAAATACATCTTTATAAATAATAGGTAAATAAAATATGATTTATTTCCAAAAATTAAATTATTTCAATTCCTTTATACATTATTAGTGCAACTCCTATTACTCAATTAATATATCCTGTATTTCACATTAAAAAACCTTTACCGAACTGACTGAATTAATTACTTAAATAATATTATGGGAGAGTGAGATTAGTTAATACATTTTGAAAATTTTTATTATTTTTATAATGGCGATAAGTCTATTTTTTAGGGTTATATCCTATTCAGTAGCCAATTTTTACCAATAATTATATTTTTTTTTTTCACACAATATATAGTATTAAATTTGTTCATTTAAAATTTTACAACTAGCAACATGGCGTGGTAAGTAGTTACATTCTATGGGTTAGTTGTTACACTATAAATTACGTGTAAATGCTTACTTTAATCATGTACCGATATAGCGACAATTAGATTGTATTTAACAAATTGTAATCAATAGTAATGACTTAAAAATCCAATGTACAAACGTTTTAAAAACCTTGTGTTATTTTTTTTAATAAATATTAATTTAGCAAACGAACAACTGTCTAATACTATTTAAAAAATAACATTTTAACAATCTTGTAACGGTTTAACCTTCTTTTATCAGGTTTAATTACAAATTGTATACTCTCTCCCTCTTCTAACCGTATTATTGATCTAGATAAATTATATGGTTCTATACATTTTTTTATCTAAATTGGGTAAATATATAAAAAAATATTTCGTGGATCACGCACAATGCCTGTATGTAATCCAAAGTTTAAATTTATTTTAATATTAATAATTTGTAAAACTTATTTTCAACTTTACAATGTTATATCTATGTATCTCAAAAAATGTAATTTTATTACATAACTTTTTTATATTCAGGCAAAATAAATTTCGAGAGTCCGCAATAACTAAACACAAGCCATTTCATGCCCAAAATTATGGTTATCAAAGATTTTTATTTGTATAATCAAATACTTGTTCGGTTTGGAAATTAAACATTGGTCCAAAATAAATCCAAACCGGGTTTGCTTCACACCTAAATTTTTAAAGAAGAGTACGGCCTTAATGTAGGACTTGTAGCCACTTGTAAAAGGTACCTACACTTTTTCTTTAATATCGTTCATCTGTTATTACAAAGATACGAAATTATACACAAAAATTCCATAGTCTGGCCAATATTTTTCATTTCAACATTTTTATAATAAAACGAAGGTTCGACTTTATTCAAAAATTTGACATTCCAGTTGACTTTAACATTTCGAAAAAAACATTAATTAAAAAATAAAAAAACCATTTATACGGAAATTAGATTTGTAAAACTACGACGGAATAAAGTTAAATTAGGACATACGAAAAATTAAAACTAAACGTAAAGTGCATTAACATAATACTGTTATGTTATCAACAAAATATACAAAAATAGCATAATTGCTATATATTTTTTTCTATTTTGTTCACAATTTTGATCGTATATTATGGGCAATTATTTAAAGTGTTGTTTGTATCGGTCGCTTCGTTGGAAACGCTGTTAAACTGTATTAATACGATCTCGTAAGTAACTATAGTACCAGCAACCTAAATAGTAGTGACAAATAATTATTAAACATCAGTATTTTTAATAATAATTAGACATTTTTAAATGAATACACCAACCGTTAACATTAATGTCCGAGTGACTGAAAAGAAATTGCATCCGGTCAATGCTAACTCGTCAGCTGTTACCTGTGTTAAAAATCTTGCTACCTGTCATCAAAAAATAAAACATATATATGATTCGTTATAACGCTATTTAACAATTCAAATATAGACATACATACATTTAAGGACATTTTTAAAATTTGAGTATGTTCAAAGTTAGAAAAAAAATTTGTTTCAAAAATAAAACTCACAATAGCTTTTTTATTTTTAACCGCGTTTTTATTTTTAAAAACATTTTCATCTTTGGGGAAATAATTATTTATGAGTATTTTAAATCAATCTTAAATTTACCTCTACCCCGTAACTTTCCGCAGGTACAGAAAATAAAACAGCTTTAGGCTTTTTGCTTTGGTCGTTAATCGACGCAGCGTATAAAGATACGGTGCATGTTCTACCGACCAGGTACGTAAATGAATATACGAAATAAATAGCCTCCCAAGCGTTTTGCATGGGCCTGCAATTATACGTTAACTGCTCATAAACGATATAAATAAATTATCTTCTTAAAGATTACTAACTTTAAGCTGTTTAGAAGCTGTAAACAAATAAAATATAAATTGTTGGCGAAAGACAACAAAATCACTGGCGATAAAAATTCATCAAAATCTCGAGTCAAAGACGCTAAACAATTATACGTTTCGATATTATTATTACGATTTGGGATATCGTAACTTACAGGTGGACATCATTATACTCACAATCTAAAGACGTTTTTGTTTATTAGCTTTTATTAATACTAAGACGGATATAATCTTAATGTTCTATACAGTTTAGTATTCATCATTTTATAACTATTAAATATATACACATCTGTATAAATATAATATGTTAATCAATTTAATTATAAAGTATTTTAAAAATAATATAATTAAAATGTACAACCATTTAGGACATAGATGTTTTGCGGAGGGTTAATAACCAATTTATCAGAATGTCATTATATTTGATCATATGGCGTACAAAAGAAATAGCTACTTTTCATAAAATAGTTATTTGAACACGTGTCTCTATAAAATGCTCCCAACTACTAATATTATGTTATAATTTAGGTATATTCGATGGTTTATTTTTTTTGTTCCGACACAAAAGTTTGTAATCTGCATTAAAAACTATAATTATACTAAATCGGTTTTACAGATTGAAGGTATCAATTCGTCACCTTAAAAATCGATTATCGTCTTCACCTTTTCTCTCTTGAACAACGCCAGATTTCAATCAACAACCGTTCCATTTCATCAGAACTGATTCAAGCAACTCAATATACCGATTCGGTAACAGTTTTCGTCACGTATTATAATGAAGTTGATGTTTTTAATTAGTTCCCTATGTTATTTTTTATTACTGTATGTATTTTCTACAAATGCCGACGTCCGGTGTGGCCAGGATTGTTTTCCTGTTACCGAAATACCCAACCCTCATCAGTGTTTTGAAAACTCTGAAAAACAAACTCCATGTAATGGAAAACCAGGATGTTTATGTTGTTGTCCTTAACTTAAATTCATTTTAAAAATATATCTTTATACAAAATAGGTAAATATAATATAATTAATTTCCAAAAATTAAATTATTTGAATTCCTTTATACATTATTAGTGCAACTCCTTTTACTCAATTAATATATCCTGTATTTCACATTAAAAAA